CTCGGGAATAACAGCATAGTTCTATGGATTATCAGACTGAATTGATCTCTGCAAATGGGATAAACTTCTTCATAAGATAAGAAGGTGAACACCTTTATTTTGGCAATTGTTTAAAATCTTTTCCTCTGCAAATGGGATAAACTTCTTCATAAGATAAGAAGGTGAACACCTTTATTTTGGCAATTGTTTAAAATCTTTTCCTTCCAGCATTAACATCGGTAAAGTAGACCCCATATTCACAAGCCACACCAACTGTGTCCCTCGCTCTCCCAGAGGAGAGAACCACAGAAAATGCCTTGCATGGTTGGGGTTTCGGGTAGGGCATGAAGAGGAACTTCTTAGCTGGACCTGAACACTAATAGCTGGACTGACCAATGATTGGTTCATACACAAAAGTAATTTCCTGTCTTACAAATCTAAGAACACAATATACGGAGGTCTCGTAAAATCATTTTCTATACAAAATCATAGATTTCACAGTATTCTATACAAAATACTGTCTTATTTTATTGAGAGAATAAATTATTAATATGTGAAACTCTAAAAATACAGGCTTATAACTGAAAGGCTAACTCTTAATTATAGGTATGCTACTGGGGCACTATAATTAAGACCTATCAGTGTCTCCTAAATGAGTTAAACTTCGTCATTCACTCTGTACAGCAAACTAGATGCTTTCCATTAGCAGAAACCCACAAAAAATGATGGACACCCAATTTTCCTCACATCTCTTGGAAGCTACGAGATTGTTCTCCACTTATTCTCTCTTTCTAGCAGAACACAGTAAATATTTCATGAATGTTTATTCATGATTATTGCCAAAGGCTTTAAAGTAGAAAGTGTACGGCTTACATTGGACTTCTAAAACTATTGCATACTCACTGACTTCACCAAAGTAATATTAATATAACCTAGTTTACTATTTTTTATGGAAATAGTTTAGACTTTAACTGAACAACATGTCATCTTAGTGCAAAACAGTTCTCCATTGACAATGTGAAATATTCATTTGTTTTTATCTCAGCAAAGATACACTTTGATAAAACAATATTGAGAAAAAATGACTAAGAGTTCAAAATTCTACATTCTATGTTAGAACTGACCATTGATTTCTCAATGGCTTTAAGTTGTTTTTCATTTTTTGGCTACTTATCATTTGCATTAGACCATGTGCTAACATTTCACATCACTATCCCCAATGCTAAATCCAAAGCTCTTGCTAGGATAAAGAGAGACAGTTAACTTGATAAACTTGGTAACAACACAAACTTTAACAATAATATAATAATAGACTTGGAGCCTGTAGCTCAAGTGGCTAGGGAGCCAGCCACATACATTGGAGCTAGTGGGTTTGAATCCAGCCTGGGCCTGCCAAACAACAATGATGACAACTATAACCCACCCCACCCCGCAAAAAATAGCCAGATATTGTGGCAGG